GGGGCCTATAATTTGTGCATACTAAAATTTTAGCATTCCGTGGGAAACTGCATGATTCGACACGTACAGTATGTATGAACTAATGAAACATTTTGCATTTTCTAGATAGCAATTGTATTCCTTAATTGTTCAGTATCTCCAGCATTTGTTTTTCTTTTAAGATAGCATTTTCCAAAAATTTGATCTTGAATCTTGTTACTGCTATCATATTACACATGCTCTTTCTTCAGACTTAAATCAAAATAGACAACAAAGGAAGCGCTTTTTAGCCATTGGGGATTAGATCATAACACCAGTGTTTTCACACAGTGGTTTACATGTATCTTCTCAGTTTTTCACTAAAGAACTTAACTTATATTATTTTGCTCTTTGTGCTAATATTTTGCATGCCTTTTGCTGAATAGTTGATTAAATACGGTATATTCCAACATATATTATCTTCCACCATTTGTAAAGGTTTGACCTAATTTGACTCTTAAGTGATAATGAACAAGGATGATGTAACATTAAATATGCCAATGAAAAGCAGTTTTCAGCTTTTTATTAATGCCATGAATCTAATGTATTATGTAATGTCAGATTGAAACGTAAAAATCAGAGAATCTATGGACTTCAGCTATATACAGTAGCTGTAGGATGAGTTTTCATGTTAGCCAACTGAAACCAGGTTCAATGTACTTGATGTAGAGTGTTTTTCCTGGGTGAGCAGGAAATTAGTATAGAGTTCCAATGTCAGAGCAATAGACAAAAATGAGCAAAAATCGCAGGATTTGGTTCCAATGAGCTTATGCTTGAGGTAGAGGGACATATCTTGTCTGGGCTCAGAGGTTAGGCAGAGTCAGCCTTCATTTGATGGGACAGTGTTGGAAATACTAAGGCTGTAGACTAAACTGGGAAGCTAGAAAAAGACAGTGACAAACCATTTCCATGTGAGAAAAATGAGAAAAGTATATGGTTATGACTATGAAATTGCCCAGATCCAAGCTTCATTCCAAGGAGATATAGACAGTTATAAATATGTTCACCCTACTTCCTTGTGGGCTTGTATTTGTTATTCTGCTTTACTTGGCACAATATTGGGTTACCTGACCACTTTTTTTTTATTCTTTTAAGCGCAAAGACCACAAACTTCTTTTTCCACTCTAGCTGCCTGAAGCAAGCACACTGATGTATTTTTCCCATTAGCGTATCATCGCAAAGCAATGATGCAAACTTATCTAAGTGACAGAAAGATGGTGATTATTCTAAACTGAGCATTCTTCTAAAATCTTTCTTTACAGTGCTAAAGGATTTAGCCCTGAAGCTCACTATTTGTCCAGAACCTGAAGTACTTATTATGCAATGATGCATGGAGGGAAAGAAGTTTGTGCACTTAGATCCTCTTTTCCACAAAAAAAATCTCAATTCTGTATTATTAGGACTTGCAATTTCTTATTATGACTTTAGGCAGTGTAAAACTGCACTAAAATGTATACTCTTAAACTAACCAATCTAAAATAATAAAACCACCAGTATAATTGAGTTAAAACTCGGCAGTACAAATCTTTTCATAAAATTGCAAGAAAATGAGGTTTAAAAGAAGCACTTTGAATTGGGCCTAGAATTGAACAGCCAATTTAGAAGGGGAAGCATAAAATGACTGCTAACTGGGACAGACATATATAGTGTATCTGGCCTATTTTTAGCTAACTAAAGTCTGAGGTAATTTTTCAAAGGTATTCCCACATATAGCACATTGCAGTAATCCAATAGCAGTGGTAGGCTCTATGGAGTGGGATTAAGTTGCAATGTATTAATGGCTATGCTGGTCTTCAATGCTAAGGACTTAGCAGCTTCCTCCCAACACACTCAAAAGATTTAGTTTTACACAAATGTATTTGAGACCCCCCCCCCAAAAAAGATGCATATGGAATACCATGCACATTGAAGCAACTCAGATTCTAAAAAGCAGGGGTGTCAAACCCGATTGTATCGCAGGCCATATGGTGATGTATCGGGACTTGTTTTGCCCTTGTCGGGCCGGAGTGAGTGTGGCCTGCATGGGCCGTATCTGGTCCACAGGCCGTGTGTTTGACATGCCTGCTATAAAGAGTTGGGGAAATGTAAGAAGAGAATGAAAAGAGAATAAACAATTTGAAAGCCTGCCCATTTTCTATTTAACATTCAAAATATATGAAAGCACTTTAAAACATCTATTATTTGATGCAATTATCCTAGATCTTGAATGGAATGCATTAACTTTATGAGAAGTTTTATTGTAATAATGATTAATGTTGTAGAAGTGGCAGATTATTTCAGAGGGCTCATTTGCCTTCTGAAATAGGCTACAATTAACAAGCGGGGACAATCTGCTTTAAAACTAAAATAAACAGATCAATATTTCTGCTTGGTTTTCTCATGTTAGGATGCTATATTTCCCTATAGACTAAGTGGCAGCACAAAAATAAATAAATGCTTCAGCAGGGTATAAATGATAATATGTATGAGCACATCAAGATGATATGCAAGTTTATACAAAATGTTTCCATGCACAACTTCTCACTATAGTACAAGTAATAATAAATAAGCTCCTAATCCTATAATGTATTGTAGAAGATCAAAAGATGCCCAAAGGCTTATACAGGGTAGTGATGCCAAATAGTCTGTGCAAAGTTTACCCACAGACCTGGGAAACAACCTTTAAACACCAAAAATGTAACATGTATTATGATCCAAATCCCAGCCTCTTGTACAGGTAGCCTTTGGCTTACAACCATTCAGTGACTGCTCAAAGTTACAGCTGCACTGGAAAAAAAGTGACTTATGACCGTTTTTCACACTTATGACTGTTGCAGCATCCCCATGGTCACATGATCAAAATTTGGATGCTTAGCAACTGGCATGAATTTATGACGGTGGCAGGGTCCTGGGGTCATCTGATCACCTTTTGCAACCTTCTGACAAGCAAAGTCAATGCAGAAGCCAGGTTCATTTAACAACCGTGTTACTAACTTAACAACTGTAGTGATTCATTTAACAACTGTGACAAGAAAAGTTGCAAAATGGGGCAAAACTCACCCGTGTTGTTTAGCCATTTTGGGCTTAACTGTGGTCCTAAGTCAAGGGCTACCAATACTCATATGCCCATTATGTCTGCAGAGACCTATGAACTAATTCAAAGTCACAGCAAATTATAGGATGTAGATAATGAAAAATGCAGGTGCTGAACAACTTACAATATTAATAGGTTGTCACGTTGGTAAGCATAAAATTGGGTGGTAGATCCAAATAGATCTTGTGTTATTTTAAATGGCAACTGACAACTGAAAATCAAGCATCAACACTAGAAATCCAAAACAGATGTTTTGCACATATGACACGGTTCTCTTTGAAATGGAGTGCAATTGAGCGCCAGTCATGAAATTATGAATTATGAAATCTAGGCTGCATTTAAAATAGTCAAGCTGTGAAGAGGGAGAATATATATATTTAACACACGGTACAATTGACAGATTGAAATATTTGGTGTACTTCCGATCAAAAACTGTCTTCAAAAATCATTAAAATATTAGCAAGTGCAGCTTCCTTTCTCAACTGTTACAAAATAATACTTTGTAAGTTAGCCATAAACTACATTAAACATTTGGCATAGGCAAAAGAAACTTGAATTAGATAATGTTTAGTCTGCATATGTCGTCATATATTTTTATTATTTCTTTTTATTTTATTGATAATTATATATTAACTATAATACTTATCCTTCCTTTCAGTCACTCATGCCCTGGTTATCTTCCGGATGGACTACTGCAATGCACTCTACATGGGGCTACCCTTGAAGAGTATCTGGTAGCTGCAACTGGTGCAGAATGCAGTGGCATAAGTAGTTTTAGGCGCCTCTAATTTGTTACATGCAACACTTCTGCTATGTGAGCTGCACCAGTTTGTTTCTGGGTCCAAAGAAGCTCTTGGTTATCACCTTTAAAGCCCTTCATGGCATGGGACCAGGGACCTGAGGAGCTGCCTCATCCCACTTACACTGACTCATCCCACCTGGTCAAAGAGGGGATCATGCTGTAAATCCCATTGGCCAAAGAGTTTCGACTGGTGGGATCAAGGAGGACCTTCTCTGTTGTTGCTCCAGCCCTTTGGAACATCTTACCCCACTAAGACAGGGGTGTCAAACTGCCGGCCTGCGGGCCGGATATGTTATGCCGAAACCGCGCCCACCCCATTGCTGGCAATGGAAAAAAAGTCACGATACGTCGTGACACATTACGTGGCGAATTTGACACCCCTGCTCTACGGTAAGGCACACCCTCATTCATCTGGTTTTCCAGAAGAGCATTAAGACCTGGTTTTGCCAATTAGCATGAGGACCTAAGAGTGTGATGCAGCTCTGGGGATGGTTGGTGACTTGAGAGCACTCCATCCACCTTGTTAATTTTTTAGTTTTCTGATTTTTTTTAACTTTGATTTTCATCTATAACCTGTAAATTCTTAATTCTGTTTTTAACAGTGCTTTAAGTCATGTGTTTATATTGTTTCATTATGTTGTTGTAAAGCTCCTACAGTCACTTAGATGAGATGGGCAGTAAAGAAATTTAATAATAAAATATTTAATGTGGTTATAATATATGCTGAATGCATCATGATTAGCATCCCCATGAGGAGCGTCTTTCTATTCTAAAAGCTCATAGTCTACTTTCCATTTAAAATTACTACCAGTGGTGTTGTCTTCTATTATTTTTCAATATATCTCTAACTTTAGAATATTTTTCACTGATTGGTTACCTGAAGGGATTTCATCTTAGCACAATCATATTGTCATTTGTACCTCAAACTCAAGACTAGTTTCCCACCACCACCCAAAATGTTGAGTCAGGCATTTTTATCCTGGAATGTAGTGAGAACACTTGTTTCACTACAAAGAAAATTGGGCTTTCAGAAGCAATAAACTCTAATGCCTTGAACAAAACTAAAGACAAATACATCTGGGATTTTCTTGAAAGTAAGATACTTACCCTGGCATAACACCAGGAGGAATGACAAGCATTAGTTTTAGTTGTGCCTCATGGAAAGCTTCAGAGAAGTGAGTGAGCAAGTGAATCAGATCCCTGTAAAACGGACAAAACATTAGCTCTGTGAGTTAAGGGGAAAAAAGAAAAGAACATCCACTGATTTTTCAGTCTCTCAGTTTTAAACCTGCATTTGAGTCAGAAAACATTTATCTTTCAAAACTAAATGTTTGGCCTTGCAACATTCCTTTACAAGTTGACTCAAAAGAAGACACCAATAAAGGAGAATCCCAGAGGTGCTTTTTCAAAAGGCAGGTGGACTTTGTTTTTGCTTGAAGACATTCTGAAGAAGTGAAGAGCTGAAGAAGCTTCTTAGATGAGAGGTGAAACATCGTCAAGCAAAAACAAAGCAAGTCCAGATTTCTTTTAAAAAAGTACCTTTGGGACAACCAGGATTTCGATGACTGAGAATCTCCTGAGACAATAAAGGAGAATGTTTGTAGCTCAGGGTTGAAATGAGGAGTCCATGGTGCTCTCTGAACTTGATTGCTTTCTTGCAGATGTTTCATTGCCCAAATTAAGTAACATCATCAGTGCTAGTAAGGAGTGGGATTTCCTCTCAGTTTATATACTAAGTGCAGGGGTCTTCCAACTTGGCCCTTTTATGACTTGTGGACTTCAACTCCCAGAATTCCTCAGCCAGGCACGCTGGCTGAGGAATTCTGGGAGTTGAAGTTCACAAGTCATAAAAGGGCCAAGTTGGAAGACCCCTGTTCTAGTGACTTGCCCTGTTAGTGTTGGCTGGGGTGATCTTAAGAGATTCTTTGGTTGGGCTGTTTACTGTTGGCATCTTAGATCTTAATCTTCAGAGTTAATCTATGCTCATCCGAGTGATCAGATTGACTGCAAGATAAACATTAGACCAACAATCAAGTAAAAAAAAGAAAGGCATAGGATCAGCTATTTGAACTTCACATAGTTTTGTATAATTGTTTCTACATTCTACATTGTTTTCTAGCCAATACAGGAGCAAAGATCTAGCCTATGCACGTATAATCCTATATAGTACTGAGAATTATGCACCAATATAAAAAATCTTTTTTTAAAAAAATGCAAATTTCTTTTTTGGAAAAAATACAAATAGAAGGATCTACTGGGCATTTCCCTTGATTAATGGAAAAAATGATAGGGGTGGCAGTTTTTTTGTTTTCAAACCACCTTTTTGTACTAGGGGTACTTCATGACCATCAAGGAATTAAAAGCCAGGTTGCCAGCTGCCTTTTGGAAAAGCACCTAATGCTGAAATATAATTTTTGTTACTTTCATTTATCACTCAAAAGAAACTACATAAACCAGAAGTGCATATTTTATACCCCAAGCAAATCCCATTGCTTGCCCATGTGAAAATTCTCTATAGGTTATGTTTCTGGTGGTCTTAAGGTAACATTACTGTTTTAGGACCATATTTTCCCACTTTACTATTCTCCCTGAAAGAAGGAGAGTTAAACACACTGTACTGCATTTTTAAAGGAATGAGGTGGGAGCAGGCCATCTAAATGTCAAAACATGTTAAATATTGATTATGTACTTTGCCATTGTCAAATATAACTTCAGAAGTTCCTCTATACTGTATGCCACATTGAAAATCTATCTTGAACCAATTAAGCTTTTTCTTAAAAAAAAAAAAAGGTTAGTTTTCTTAGGTGATGACAGTTTTCTGAATGCACACTGCTGTCATAACACACCTTTGGCTTCTCACCACCTTCACACTGGATGCTGGAGATTGCTTGGTGGAGTTGTTTGTTTTCAATCTTATAAGCCACTCCGTGTCACTTACATGAGATGGGTGGATATATAAATTAAATAATTCACTCACTAAAATACATTCAAGACACTTTTGTCATCCTATAATTGCTTGGTCTTAGCCAGTGCACTTAATGCTGCTCATCTTGACAGAAAGTTTACCCCAATGTGATATTTGTGGCAAATTCTGAATCGCTTAAGTTAACTACAAACAAAACAATTACCTTTCTACCACATTACCAAGTATTTTACTGGAGTAATTTAAAAACAAAAAGGCTAAAATAAAATTGTCTTCATGGGTAATGAAAGTTAAGACCCACATTTTAAGAAACTCCAAGAATGTGTTAATAATGTATGTTGTCTACTCACCGCCTAATGCAATATCACGGAAGGAAGCAACTTATATAAGCCTTTGATTAATAGGTTAAATTTCCAAGGCTCAGTCCTGGTTATCTCCGAGACCGCCTCCTGCCGCAGATTCCCTCCCACAGGCCGGTACGCTCCCACAGAGCGGGCCTCCTCAGGGTGCCGTCGGCCAAGCAATGTCGGCTGGCGACCCCCAGGGGGAGGGCCTTCTCTGTGGGTGCCCCCACCCTCTGGAACGAACTACCCCCCGAGATCCGGACGATTCCGGATCTCTTNAGTTTTAAATAGGGATAATTTTTAATGATTTTAAAGTTTCAGGGGATTTTTAAGGATAATTTTAATTGATCGGCCTGTTTAAATATTTCTTTTTAATTCGGCTTTTAATTATTGTATTTGTATTGTAGTTTTTATGAGGCTGTTAGCCGCCCTGAGTCCCATGAGGAGAAGGGCGGGGTATAAATTAAATTATAATAATAATAAATTATAATAATAATAATAATAATGATGTGTCATTGAAAGAGAGATGCAAATCTCTCTGAAGTGAAAACAGTGCTTTTCAATTCAGCTGTGCAGTGGCACCACCTACTGGCCTAAATAAAATTAGTATCTTTTTTTAAATGCATGGAATCAGACTTTTATGCCTGTCTCAGAAATGATGGCTTCTTAGTATTCATAGATCTCTTCCATACCATCACAATTTTCACTCCACTAAGCTTTAAAAAAAAAGCCTTCCAAATTAAGCTGTAATTGTCCTCAATGAAGCCAACCTTGAAACTTTAAGAACTGCCACAAGGAGGAAGGGTCAATTTATTTTCCAAAGCACCAGAAGGCAAGATAAGAAACAATGGATGGAAACTAATCAAGGAGAGAAGTAACCTGGAATTAAGGAGAAACTTCCTAACAGTGAGGACAATTAACCAGTGGAACAGCTTGTCTTCAGATGTTGTGGGTGCATCATCACTCGAGGTTTTTAAGAAGAGACTGGACAGCCACCTGTCTGAAATGGTATAGGGACTCCTGCTTGAGCAGAGGGCTGGAATAGAAGACCTCCAAGGTCCCTTCCAACTCTATTCTGATTGATTGAAATTCATGAGCCAATCAGTGATTCTCCACCAGACCAATGACAACATAAAAAGCATCGTTCACTCAGTACCCTGCTCACCTTCAAGTTGTGTGTGTGTGTGTGGTTTTTTTTAATACACTGACTTTTTCATGCCACTGAATGAAACAGGGACCCATTTTCTGCCACAGTTTATAAGAGTTATTAACAGTGAGTTGTTAACCGTTGAGAGATTGAGGTGTAAGAAACTTTTCCCCATACATAACCACCATCTGATAAGGTATGTTGGGCTGAGTAAATGAATGAATAGCAATTTGAGCCTGGGTTTTCCCAATCCAAGCAGGATACGTCTCTGCTTTTAGGAACTCACTTTTCAACGTTAAAATATCCTCTAGTGCCACGGTCCCCAACCCCTGGTCTGTGGACTAGTACCGGGCCGCAGCATGCCAGCAACCGGTCAGCACAAACAAGCAAAGCCCCATCAGTGGGATGCAGGCAGCACACAAAACCACGCAACTTCCGGTCTGCGGAAAAACCTCTCTCCATAGAACTGGTCCCTGGTGCCCAAAGGGTTGGGGACCTCTGCTCTAGTGAAACTGAAAAAGCTTCATTCTTATTCCTTTGCAATAGATGGAAAAAAATTAAGTTGTCTGTTCTATTTCCCTCCTACCAAAGAATTCCAGTAGTTTTTTTTAATCAATAAACACACTGAAAAAAACTCAACTGGTGGAGGAAAATTGCAATGAAACTGCTACTATAATCCTCCAAATCAAAAATGACAAATGACTATAAAAATTAAAAACAAAGTAAGAAAAATAAAATGGTTCCAATTTCTTCTGGAACAAGTATTGTGCAATGCTGTGCAATTGTATAACCATCTTTTATAGCTATCACCAAGGGAACTCACGCTGTCATTAATTATAAATATTAAAATATAGGAATTTTACCTCCTGTGGATTCCTACTCTATCACACAATTTTATTCCCTTTTGTGTGCTTTCAAGACAATCTTGACTCTTGGCAATAGCCTGGATGAATTCCTTCTATTTTCTTGGCAAGGTTTCAGATATGGTTTGCCATTGCCTCCTTTCTAGGGCTAAGAGAGTGACTGGCTGAAGATCACCCAACTGGCTTTATGCTTAAGATGGGACTAGAACGCAGAGTCTTCCAGTTTCTAGCCTTGTTCCTTATCCCCCACACCAACTGGCTTTTTTATGTATTCCTAGTAAGGTATTAGTCTGAATCAGCAAACCACAATGATACTAGAAAATAATCATGTTTTAGCTACACAAATAATCAAACCCATTAAAGTCAAGTAATTCTTAAACAGCCCATTGAAATCAGATATTGATACTGAGAAACAAAGCAGCAGCATAGAGCTAGTGAGGTTTTCAGTGAAAATGCTTAAAAGTATGATTTCTAAAGATTAGAGGACCGCAAGAACTTTACTGCCACTGTGTGGATAAAGTCTGAACAACCTGTCAAGTTTTGACGAGCAGAAGAAATGTTACGAAGCTTTTGTTGGTGTGGAAAACAAGTGCATAGCTTTCCACTAATCATATCACGAACTCTCATTGCTAGGATTAGGAAGAAACCCTGCCAGAGAAATCTGTTGTTGGTCAGCATTCACCAAGGTTCCAGAAAGAATACGTTCATTACAGTAAAAACAATGAGGCCTATGATGATCTAACGTGCTACATTTATTACAGCACATCTACACCTCTAATCACAGCCAATCTCATCAGATGCAACAACAATTCACAGACACAGCAGCTAAAATCCAGACAGGGACAATTAAAAGACTATAAGCTAGAAGTTATGATTTTTATCTTCTGAAAAAAATGCTCTTGGACTGTGACATTAAAAAAGTAAATTCCAGTAACAATTGTGTTCTAGGAACATTTTTTTATGAAGCTTGAGGGACCAAGAAGGGTACCTTCAAAAGCTATTAGTAACATGCAAACCAATGCATCCAGGTGTTATAAGGCTCTTCCTCCCTTTCAACCATTTCTGTGTCTAGTCGTCTTCTTTTCTCCTATAACCACTATGCACTGTGAAAATCTAAACTAGATGCAATACCCAGATCCTTATCAAGAAAAGTTAGCACAGAGACTAAGCACAGAGGTTTTTCACACCTGCGTGGATGCAGGGATACCTGAACAACAATCTCACCAAATCAACGTAAGTAACACTGCAACACAGAAAAGGTTGCCATCTGGCTTGCTCAGAAAGAAGCTTTGTTCACTGATTTAAATTTAGCAGTGGTCGATGTATGGTTTTCTAAGCTCTCTGGCGGGCATCCGTCAATATAAAAAATGGAACATAATAATATGTCAAATCTTGAAAGTGGTGAATCTTTAAAGATGCTTCTGAACAGTGCTTTTTTTGTAAAAAAAAAAAAAAAAAAAAAAAAAAAAGATGCCGGAACTCACACACGTCATACAACCCGCCTTGCCTACCCTACAAGGTTCCATCCAAAAAAGATCCCGGAACTCCGTTCTGGGCGTTCTAGGACAAAAAAAGCCCTGCTTCTGAATTCATCATCGATGACACTAAGTGGCTATAAGGAAGAGGGGCTTTTTCAGTTAGGGTACCCTATTTAGAATGGTCTCTGCAGCAGGTATGCAAGTGCCCACAAAATATTTTTACAATCAAACCGGTTAGGTTAAAAGAATTGTGGGGAAAAAAATAACCATGTTATCTACATATTTTTGTCTACAAGTGGTAATACCAGCTTTCTTCCAAAGAATTTGCACATGGTACTTTCTTAAATACAACTAATGAATTGTACAGCTTCACTAAAAGCAGCTAGTGAAAGTGTTAACAGCTTTTTTTTATTTAAAATCTGTAGTATTTAAGGATCCTTTTGTTCAAGTAACAACAATAACATGTTACACTTTGAAGTCCAGCAAGAGACATTTTGTGACTTGGAATTCATGACCAACTAACAGGGGATCAATTCTAATCTTGAAGATTTAACTGCAGTAACAACAATAATAACAGTAATAACTCTGTCATTAAAAGGCAGGAACTTTTGGAGTCAGATTCAACACAAAGAAAACGAGTTTTGCAAGATACCTTGGAGGTAGACGACAGGAATGGATGTATTCCTTGTTAAAACAAAACCAAAAAAAAAATAAAATCCCACACTATTTGGTTTGACACTGCAACTCAGACATGCCTAAACCTGTTCCAATTCATATGAAACCTTCCCACTTCATATAGGAGTCACTTTATCTCCTTATAACTTTCTTTATGGAAGGGGTCCCCAACCCCTGGTCTGTGGACCAGTACCGGGCCATGGCATGCCAGCAACTGGGCACACAAACAAGCAAAGCCCCATCCACGGGATGCAGGCAGCAAACAAAACCACGCCCCCTCTGGTCCACGGAAAAACCTCTCTCCACATTACCGGTCCCCAACACGTTACAGGTTAGGGACCTCTACTTTATGGTGTTCCTACAATGTTGTCCAGATTACCCTAAACTACCAGAGTAGCATGCACTAAAGAAATTCCCACACTTAACCATAGCATCAGAAGGCTTGTTCTTTAATAGGAAATTCTTGACAATGACTTCCTTACACTGTACTTTCAGGCTCTTTTTTTTTTTTTTTACCTTGGTATGATCACAATGATTTCAATTAGACTTGCTTTAAATAAACATGATTCTCATTGCAGCCCTTAATAGTTCAAATACTTTTTCCCCCAAAAAAATGGCATGCATCTGAATAAGCCCTGGACTTACGTTTGTTTTTGATTTCCTAGCTGATTCCATACTTCAATCATAAAGCCATCGAAGTTTTCACTCTAAAAGAATAGAAAAATTTGAGTAAGAAAAAAAAATCCACTCCAACAAATATTGTGAAGCCTGTTATTTACTGTTGATAAGGTCTCAGGCATCCTGCAAAAAATTGTTCAACTTGCTTTGGGGTTTTAATGCTTTTGCTTCCTGTATTTCAACATCTAGAGGTCAGTTTTCATTTGTTCAATACTGAATATGATTTTCAAAATAAGTTGTTAACTTGAACATTGTGCCACTTTAATTTTTTTTTTACTATTACTATCACTTAAACAATAACATTAGTTGTTGTTGTTTTTAGTTCTAAGGGATATTATTTTACCTTGGCTATTTGAATCATAATATTAGAAAGTTCTTCTATCTCATCCTCACTGCCAAATACGGTTTCAAAATCGTGATAAGACCAATCTTCAAATAAAATCCGTGGGACTAAATATAAAAAAAGGGACAAAACATAGAAACGGCCATTATTTTTCTTCATAAGAAATTTAGTTTTTATAAGTATGACGAAACCCTAACCCCAACCATGGAAAATAAGACAAAACTGAAAAAACCAATAACCAGTAAGTAATTGTAAATTAACATTATGATCCAAAGTAAAATATACAACAATTAACCCATGCATTAGAGCAGGCATGTCAAACTGCCAGCCCATGAGCTGGATGAGTCACGCCGAAACCGCGCCCATCCCATTGCTGGCAATGGGGAAAAAGTCCCGATATGTTGCGCAACATCACGTGACATCGCGAGTTTGACATGCCTGCATTAGAGAGACTGGTTACCTAGTTAATGAGTTACACTGCCTCTAAAACCAGATAGGAGGAGGATCAACACCACTTCCTAAAGACCTAGAGGTGGAACTATGGGCAGGATCCCTCAAGCTGATCTCAGCAGCTGAGTTGGCTGGTACTAGAAGAGATATACTTTCAAGTAGTTGGTTAAAAGCTATTCTCAGTCTTTTTAATTGAGCCTGGTCTCTCTGAGGCAGCCACTGTGGGGCTTAGGGACAGGATATCTATTTTGTTATCACAATGGTTTGGTTCTACAGATGCAGTATGAACCTGTTACAACTTCAACACCATCTTAAAGAAGAGCCTCATATATAACTCATTTCATTCACCTAGTTGTAAGGATACATAGAACACCAAAGCTAAGCTATCTTAGTCTATCCAAGTAGCAATTTTTCTTTTTCCTACAGGATCTCATCCCTAACAACATCATCTCTGCAAGCATTCCTTATTCCAAATTAGTTAATAGTATATCTGGTAAGGATTCAGAATGTACTGTGGATCTCCAGCTTTTACTTGCATTTTGCAATAGTGAAAGATCTGTGACATACTGTATCTAGATCGTATGGCATTCAACACTGGGGATTGCAGTGTTAGCCATCATAAATTTTGCGAGACAAGTGAATATAGGGACACAGAATTGCTGTAATAGCTCTTTAATTAACATACTTTAGTTAACATATATTACACTACCTCATCTTTGTTCCAGAAAGATTTATATAATTTTAATGCATAGGTAAGTCTTCAATTCTCAATAATAAGGAATACGAAGGCAGCCTTGCTAGACTGTACTACGGACTAAACTAAATCAACATACTACTTTCCCTAGAGGTCAAACAAAGAGAGTGATCATCGAAAATATAACAGCAATTAAGATGGGGGGGAAGGTAAATCCATTTATACTGCAAGCCTTCTAGAATTTGAATGTGAAAAGTTAATTAAAATTTTACCTATTTTGATGTTCTTGGCATTTCTCTTAACTTCTTTCATCCAACCTGTAAAAGATAACATTTAAAGATTCATATGGCTTATCCCAAAAGAATATCTCTAATATAATTATGTAAAACTTTTAAAATGCTTCTGCTTTGGCCATATAAAGGAAACAGCTGGGCTAACCTTTCAGCTATAGTCAAATATAACTCTTGTAAGCAACATCCAAACTTGTATTGGCTGTGATCACCAAGAATAACAACACTCACAATTTAACTCATCTGGAAGATACCAGATTAGAAGTGGTTCTGCTAGAAAAATTACATAAAGGCCAAAGAGTTAATAAATTGCCTCTAATACTCTCTGTTCCCCCCCCCAATATAAAACTGTACAAATTGTTAAGAGCAGGGTAACACATAGGAAGATAAATTTCATTTTCTGCACCCAATTCTTTTGCTTTCAGCTGGCTATTGCAGCTTCAAAACTATTCATAATAAACAAGTATACAAATATAGATAAAATTAGGCAACTTATATCCACAAAAAACATATTTCAATTAGAAACTAATAATAATCTTGTGCCTTCAAATCAGCCTTGATTCCTGGTAACTGCCTGGACAAGTCCATGAAGTTTTTTGGCAATATTTTTAGAAATGGACAGTCTTAAAATCATCCAGCTGGCATCATGCTTAATAAGACTGAAACTCATAGTCTCTTGGTTTCTAGCCTTGTACCTTTAACTATTACATCAAGGTGGCTTTCTACAATACATGGATACAATGTATATCAGGCGATAAGAACCAGACCCACTTATGTAGAGTTTGAGCTAGCTATTATTATTTTCTGCCTATAATAGAGGAATCTGGCAGCCTACCCTTCAGAAGAATTACTTAGGCTCCAAGGAACTTGGGGAGTGGGGTTGCTCCTAGGACCTAGCTTTTTGCAGTTGTGCAGTGACTCCAGGCTAACTCTGCTTTTGATCCCACTTCCCTGCCAAGCTGGATGTTTCCCAACATCATACAATGATAGATAGTGTGCCAACAAGTAAGTGTTGACTGTTAGCAAACAGACAGTGTGACCTTCATCATCCATCGTCTTTGCTCTTGTTTGTCCTCTTTTCTTCTTCACTGACTTCTGCAAAAAGTTAGGTCTTCAAATGTATCTAAGATATGATAATTTGAACCTAGTTATTTGTGCCTCAAACAAGAATTTTGTATTGATTTATTCTATGATCCATCTGTTTCTTTTCCTGAGTGTCCATGGTATTCTCAAAAGTCTTTTTCAACACTGAAGTACAAACATATTCTTGCTTCTTCAAAGTCCAGTTTTCATGTCCATTGCAACTTGCAACTTCCTGTTGGCTTTCCCATTAACTTTACTTGTGGGAAGCTAGTGGGGAGGGTTGCAAATAGTAATCATGTGATCACAGGACACGGGGACAGTCAGAACTTCAAGGACCACTTGTTCAGCACTGTTGCAAGTATGAATGGTCACTGAATGTGTGCCCATTAATTTTTTTGAGCAATTGCATGGGCATCCATTTTGCTGTTGAAAAATGTATAGACATTTTTTCTTTTTTCTGATGTTCTGGATTATTGCAGTGTGTTCATGCTCATTTGAATAATGTATATGAACACTTTATATACACAGCTATAATGGAGCACTTTATTAATGTGGATTGTTTTTTGATAGATTTGCGATTCTAATTCATGGTAATTTCTCCTGCTGATGAGGATATCCAGGAAGGGGAAAGTATTGTTACTCTTGTGTGAATTTTATTTCTTTGAACATATTATTTCATTTGTCTTCTCTAGTTATTCCTTTTTTATTATGACAAAGGTATTAGCTATATACCGTATCCATACATTTGGTTGTATGTGTGGGGGTATTATAGTTTATAAATGGTGCATTATGGTTTCTCCTATGAGTCTTAAAAGTAGTGATCCCATGGTGTTTCTCTGATTTGTTGGTATATTTGCCCATCAAATTGAAAGTAGGTAGAGAGGCAGAGTTTGATGAAATCCATGATTCTGGGTATTTCAATCTTAGTGTATTTTGCTAGATCAAATGTATTGTGTAGTGCTGCTGCTGCTGCTAATAATAATAACAACAATAACAACAATAACAACAACAATAATAATAGAGTTGGAAGGGACCTTGGAGGTCTCCTAGTCCAACCCCCTGCTCAGGCAGGAAACCCTATACCATTTCAGACAAATGGCTGTCCAGTCTTTTCTTTAAAACTTCCAGTGTTGGAGCATTCACGCTTCTGGAGGCAGGTTGTTCCACTAAGTTCTTGATTTTTATTATGAGAACTTTGTCCATTTACATTTTCAGCTATCAGAGTGGCCACACATGCATAGTGCAGTTTCATGATGCTTCTTCCTTCAGTTTCATGTTCATGTTCTTCCAATCCAGCTTTCCTCATTATATATTCAACACATACTGTAGGTTGTGTATAAGTAAGTTTCACTGCATCCATGCTTGCAATGGTTCTACCCAAAAAGGTTAGTGTGAAAACAGTACTGTGGGTTGTGGAAGAATTTGAAGAAGCAATAAAAACTATGTAAAAATGCTTTGAAAATGAACGAGATTAACAAAGTACACCATATCAGAAGGGGGGAAATTTAGGAAAACATCCCATATTGGCTTAATGGGACCATTCACTGAATGTTAAATGTCACTGGAAAATAAAATGGAAAAATGGGAGTAAGGCAGAATTAATGCATCTATTTAAGCATCCCATATGTACAATATCATGGGGTAAGGCGCTAACAGCTACCACCTTAAGCAAAAGCACTTTTAATAAGGAATCAAAATACATAGTAATATTTTGTTACAGATGCCACTTCTATTAGTGTCTTGAACACTGGGTCAAAGCCTCCACAATTTGAAAACACAAGCATGCATCATTTTCTCTCTTTAAGTACCTCATGAATGAGAATATGGCTAGAAAATTGACATAGATGTGCCAATCTCTCTTTTTAATATGACTTTGGTATGGATTTTATAACATTCTTAGCTGAAATAAAAATGTGGGGACATTATTACATTGATCAAATGTATTTTGTATTGCATAGAACATATCTAGTTATTATAAATTGGCTACACTTCCTTCCTCCCAGCCATGAGAAAGAAATATTTCTATACAACTCAGCAGGTTTTCACAATACAAGGTTAACACTGGAAAGCCTGGCAGCAGAAGCATTAGAAACAGGTCTCAGGCAGAAGATAGAAAGCACAGACCTTGGTCAACGTCATGGAGCCCTGTCACCTGGAACTTCTCCTTTCCTCTTCTCTTCACCTGCAGCCAGACTGGTGAAATTGTTGTAAATTTGTTTCCAAAAGTTTTAGCAATATCATAGCCATGGCTATTCCACTATAAAAAAAGAAGAAAAGGAACATAGTATGGAAACATATTTGCTACGTTATTTACTATTTTCAAATGTAAATTATACTGAAAGAACTAGATTAAGGTCCTCAACTCTAGTTTAACCTATCCCAGTGATGGCAAACCTTTTAGAGACCGAGTGCCCAAACTGCAACCCAAAACCCACTTATGTATCATCGGTGCCAGGTGGGCGTGGCCGATTGGGTGGGTGTGGCCGATTGGATGGGCATGGCCGATTAGGTGGGCATGGCCCATTGTGTGGGCGTGGTTGTGGTGGTAATGGCTGGGTGGGACTAAAAAATTCAATCAATTCCAAATTTGCGAGATCTTTTTTTTCCCCACGAGAAGTTGAAATTGATTGAACCTTTTTTTTTTTTGCACACGGCGGCGGAGGCCTAAAGTGGAAAGGTTTTATAAAACCCAGCTGAAGGCCTAGGACTGGAGCGACGGTGTGTGTGCCCACAGAGAGGGCTCTGCGTGCCACCCGTGCCATAGGTTCACCACCACGGACCTATCCCCTCACAAAAGAAGCCTGTATTTTTACACTGTTTAATTAATTAATATCCTGCCTTTATTATTTATTTTTTTTACAAATAGCTCAGGGCGGCAAACATATCCAAGACATTTTTCTTCTCCTATTTTTACCCACAACAACAACCCTGTGAGGTGTGTTGGACTGAAAGACAGTGACTGGCCCAAAGTCACCCAGCTGTTGCACCTCAACTTCACTCCATACTTACAGGTGTAATGTAGCCCAAAGTTTCTCCCTTGAAGGAGTGTTCACGTCCTTTTGTAGCACAATAGCTTTTGTGTTCAAGGACAATATGCTTTGCCATTGGATCAATAACTACTAAACCACGCTCCTGTACTGTTTGATTTGAATGACGTATCTGTCAAAATAAAGTTATTGTAGAATTGATTTAGAGAGATTGCTAGCACACAATTCAAGGAAAGGTAATATCTTTAGGGGGCTTCAAAATTACAGGACCAAAACCTAGTGCATTTAGAAATATAAGATGGGGGGAAACACAGGGAAAGCTCTTATTTTCACACCCTACTTACGAACACAGGTCCGTTGCTACTGGAAACAGATGGGATTAGCTGCTAAGTCAATAATCATAACCAAGATGGCAATTCTGAAAAGGGAATGGTACATTCTCCAGAAATGAAAGAAAAGTATTGCAGGGAATATATGACCAAATTTAAATTCAGCATATTCTTGGCAACACTAGACCACATCCCAAACTACACAGAAGCAGAGAGATCCAGCCTAGGGTGGAAGGTGATTTAGTTGACTCTCCCTTTCTCATGGCCCCTACGTTACCTCTCATGCTGCCCTGGGGGGATCAAAACTATCTGAAAAGTACAAGGAAGAATAGTGAAGATCTCCCTGGTCATCTCTTTCTACCAATTTGAACTTCCCTAGTCTAAACAATGGTTCTAACATTATCTACTAAAAATCCTTTGGACTTTGGATCATTATTTTCTAATATATTTACAATAATTGACCATTATTCTGAGGACTTACTAACTAAGCAATCATAAGGCATGCACAAATGTCTTTATAGTTCCTATTTTCAAAAAAACTACATCCAATGCTTTGATGATTGTATATCTACAAGTAAAACTAATATTTGGAACCACCTCGGAAAATCTGAGGTCTCTTATATAGAAGCAAATTTAAAATACAAAGTTTTATGTAGCCTATCTATTCTTAAATAATTATGTCTGGTGAAAATCTGTTCATGTTGCTGCAGAAACACACAATTGGAAGCTGAAAGTGATAGTGATTGCTGCCTCATCTAGAGAATTCAGTCTGTAACACTATTGGTGTATTATTATTATTATTATTATTATTACTACTACTACTACTACTACTACTGTTACTACTACTGTTACTATTATTACTATTATTGATCGATTCACATAACTTCGTTCAAGTCTGACACCTTCCAGGATAACTGGTTTATCTGATATGATGAATGATGAAACTGAGGAAAAATGTTTGTAATAGCTTAATTAGGATTAGAATCAAAGTAGGAAAATCTCAATCTCCTCTCATCCCCATTTTGTGCCTGTTTCATATCCCATATGAACAGAAAAAAAACAGAAGATAGAAAGATCCCATTTTGAATGGCCACTTTCTTCTTTGTGCTAACGGCTAGAAGAGGGAGCTACACTTAAGTTTACTTTCTGGGTTTAGATAATACTAGACAACCTGTGCCCCATCGGGTCATCATTGCAGAGATATATCCTTACCTAGACAGAGAAACAGAATGACCACAAACGGATTGCTATTGTTTTGGTTTTAAAATTAAAGAAGAAAACATCCACAACCATGCATATAAACAAGATGCTGTTAACAAATAGAACACATTATTTAGCATTATAAAATGAAAATTTTATATTACCTAAGAGAGAGCTGCTTTCCAGAACTATCTAATTAGAAATTAAGAAGACCATTGTGAAATTAATAGATTTCTGTCAAGTATTCTCTGTGTATATTCAAAGAAAATACTACTGGGTCAAAGTACAACATTTGCACAGTATTTGATAAGAATCTTTGCTAATCAGAGATTAATGCCAGAAAATCAACCATGTTCTCCTACCTTTTCCTCCAGTGTTTTTGAGGAAGCTTTTTTCAAATCTGTCTTTGACAATGTAGCATCAACCAAGTGAGAAACCAGGGCAAAAATAAGACCAACGCAGATACATTTCATGGCAACTTTAGTTATTTGAGTATAACGTCTATGGATGAAGAAGATAGAAACAGACATCTTACACACTGAATAACAATCTAATTTCGATAATTTTTAGAAACTACTAATAAAGGTAAGGGAAAATTAAAAAGAATAGATCCAGCATCAGTCCCCTCAAAAATAAGATTCTATTAGCATTTGCAGTGTTCCCCCAATGATCTAGCCCAGTGGTTCTCAACCTTTTTAATGCCACGACCCCAACCGGTCGTAAGTCGAGGACTAAACCGGTCGTAAGTCGAGGACTAAACCGGTCGTAAGTCGAGGACTTTCCCTGCCCGGGAGCGCCGCGCATGCGTGGTTCCTCCCCCTGCGCTGGCCGAGGCGTAGCTGGCAAGCGGCAGAGATGGAGCAGGCTGACCACCAGCTGGCCCAGCCCAAGGGAGGTAAGGCACCCGCCGGAAAAGGGGGAAAAATGGCGGACAAAAAAAATGGCGGACAGCCTTGCTTGGCGACCCCCATGAAATGGTCAATCGACCCCAAATGGGGTCCCGACCCACAGATTGAGAACCACTGATCTAGCCTTTCCTCTGGCAATAGTTCAGATTAAAAAGAGTACTTTCATCTGAATAAGCATGCATTAACTTTTTTTAATTGGTGCTTTCAGCATTGGTTTAGAACAGATAGCATTTCCTTGTTTTACTATAATACCGTCAAGAGTTTTGAGGACTGCCTTTTTGCCTGCCTTCTTCTCCTAAATTCCATACTAGTATCTAAAAAAATTAGCATCTTATTAGTACTTTTGTAACATTAAACAAAATTTAAATTAAATAAACAGATGCATAATAATTGAACAAAGTATATTCATTTGATTTAAAATGACTTCTGTATGGTGTCCCCAAATTAACGTTGTATGTGCTTCCCTTTTTGTAATTTCATTCCCCCCCCCCATTTTAATATTTCTGGAAACTTTGTATGGACCGTCATTCTATCCAAGTTTTCGGACTTGCCTTTAATATACTCTCAGAATAGCTACTATCATGGATCTCTTTAACTACAGACATTGTGCACTTCAAGCCTTCAGTCAGAAATCCAGGATGACAGAGATTTTGAGTTTGCCCAACTTTGGGAAAGCATGACATGGAGGAGTTTTAAAATGTGCCATATACAGGTAGTCCTTGCCTTACAAAATTTCATTTAGTGACCGTTACAACAGCACTGAAAAAAGTGACTTATGACCGTGTTTCACAATTATGATCATTGCCAGCATCCCCCATGGTTATGTAATTTACATTCAGATGCTTGACAACTGGTTTATATTTATGTTGGTTGCAGCGTCCCGGGGTCACGTGATCAACTTTTGTGATCTTCCGACAAGCAAAGTCAATGGGGAAGCCAGATTCACTTAACAACCATGTTACAACTGCAGTGATTCACTTAACAAATGTGGCAAGAAAAGTCGTAAAATAGGGCAAAATTCACCTAACAAATTTTTCACTTAACATAAATGTTGGCTCAGTTGTGGTTGTTAAGTCGAGGACTTTCTATTCACTCACTTTTATTCAGCATTATGATGCAAGCATAGCCACAGAATTCAGAGGAAAGAATCATTTTGCAATTTTATATATATATTCTAAGTTTTATATTTGCATCACAAAGACCAGAAACACTTAACACACAAATGGATTGCTTTAAGAATGGCTAGGAAGATGTCCCAGAAGCTATATGATTCTTCATGTTTCACCTTTTTTGGATAGACAGAGGACACAACTCAAGATCCAATCTATCCTTTCATTCAGTGTAGAAGGCCTTGTCAAGTAGCAGCCATAATTGGACATGTAGACAAATTACCAGTAAAGCTTGTCAGATTGTCACCCAGAGTTCAAAAGCAAGCAAGCAAAAAAAAACCAAACAACAAACAAACTAAAATGATCCAAGAGAATTTTGCAGAAGTTATGAAGATCTATTTGTCGCTTGCTTTTCCATCTGCAAATGGAATGCCGAATAAGGTTACATTCTCTAGTGTCTTCAGCCATAGACTAACAGACTTTGCTTCAATGAGGAGGAGGAAGTTTTAAGCATTTTTTTTAAACAATATACATGTCTTGGGGGGGGGGGGAATGGCAAGCCTCCAAAGAGTAATTACTGTGGCATAAACTTTTATAGCTCTAAATCCACAAAAAGCTGTATAGTTAAATCAATTTGTTATCTTTTCAAATCCATTACAATTAATGTTTCCGCTCTGACAGATTTACTCAAGTCAATTGTCCGGAAATTATAGACTTTGTTGTGGAAGTCAGATAGCACCCAATAAAGGGCTGCAAACTTTAATTAATTAGATGGGGTTTTAGAAAACACTTTAATTTAAAAGGTGGCATCAAAACAATGAGTTTTCAAGCAGCATCTTAATTGGGGCCTTCCCTCTTTTGAAATATGCATTGAGACGCTTAAAAAACAGCAGAACTAATTTTCAATGCAAATCTGATGTGAAGCTACTAACTAGAATACGTCACAACAATTCTCACTCCCAGATATAGTGGAAAGCCAAGATCATGGTCACTGAAAATTGTATTGTGAATGTGCAACATTGGGCACAACCCACTGTTTCATTTCCCACCCAATTTACTGGCCACTAGTTCTAATCAAATGGTTTACCTTATTCCATTCCCCATTATAAAAATACCAGATGGGTAAATTATATTTTTACAACGTTCTTCAAACTGATACCCAGTAACCCACTATGCAAAAGTTAAAACTAGGGAAAGACCTGAAAATACAAACTATAAGGATCCAAGAGGATTTTGCAGATTTAGAAAGATCTATCTGTCGCTTGCTTTTCCATCTGTAAGAAAGGAATCCATTCCAATTCCCGTATACAAATTCCACAGAATTTGATTTGTTATACCGCCACAACTCTTTCTAAGTAATATTTCAATGTTACCTCCCTTCAATTCACAAATCCGCCCCCCTGAACATAATAGCGTTATGAGATTAGTTTAAACCACCGTTACTACAGTCTCTGGCTGTACCATACGAAGCCACAATCGAGCAAACTAGATTAAAGAGGGATCGCAAGGCAATCCTGTTGCATGCGCCACTAAATTCTACTGCTCTGCAAAATGACGTGCCTACTAGATTGGCCACTTTAAGCGCAGAGTCCTCAACCTGTTTTCTCCAGAAACGGTGGCGTGTCCCGGCCCTGCTTATTGCAGCACTGGAAGCTGCTAGTGTGGATAGGCTGTTAGCGGGAAATACGGACTTTTTGAAGAGCTACGATTAGTAGAGGCTGACCCGTTGGGTGCACTGTCTTTTCCAATCCCCTCCCACCTTTTCAAGCACTCGCATTCGCGCCCTTGATTTCCTTCTGTAAACCGGATCTGCCTCGACTCGGAAGTGAAACAAAAACATCAGAGGCAAGGAGTGCACGCCTTTTAAAGGAGCCGTTTCTTTGTCTATTTTTTGTGATAAGTGTGACTTCATAATAAAGTGGCTGATACGAGGGAGCTCTAGCGAGATACCCCAGGTCATACGGTAAAACTAAGTCTTATTGGAAGCCCGCTTCGGAGACAGCAGAGAATTACAACGGAGAAATAGCCTACTAAATAGGCTTAAGCAGGCTCAATATAGCAGGGCAATGGCAAAACATCAACCTAAAAATAGCTACATTAGAGGGTATGTGTGTGTAGCAATAATACAATAATATAAACAATAACAAAAACATAAAAAGACTGGATAACAATCCCTAACTGGGAGATTACATTATTAGGTCCAGTCAAAAAGACACAAAATGTTCATAAAAAGTGATGAAAGAGGCTGGTGGTGTAAAACTGAAATTAATTCCATTAGCTAAATTCAATTAACCACAGTTAGGCAAACTATTTCAATTTGATCAAAGTTTGAGCTATATGATCTGAGTTGCAAAAAGTTGGATGAGAACTAGTTGGCAACGAGGAGTTAAGAGTTTTTCTGTATTTGAAAAGAAACATTCAAGGTTGTTTCACTAATTCTTAGCCAATTCAACTACATCTTTCTGCTAAAGATTGCAAGGCTGCTACTAAATCACAAAGTTCTCTCTGACCTTGGATGGTTGTCCAAATGTATAATCTGAGAGTCTAATTTTGAATTTTTTGCAAAGCTGTACATAATTAATGGGACCTAGTTTCCCAGTAAGTCTGAAATCCCATGCACTCTTGCCTAAAAATTCATGGATTTCAGTATCTTCTATATCTGAATAGACATAAGCTAGCATTTGAGGAGGCATAAAGTCAATGGAATATTGCACTGAGTGTGGCTGGCTTTGCGTACCCCCTTAAACTCTGGTACTCATGAATTGTCTTTACACCAGATACTAACTTACTATTTCTCTGACCTACATAGTACCATTTTTGTGTGAATAAAATAAGGGGAGAGCACCCCACCTCCATTCTTCCTTTAAAACTCAGACTGTTACCACCCCTTCAGATTTTTCTTCTAGTAGAAAAGTATGATGAATCACTTTGGAAGTTTCTTACAACCAGTTCAATCATTGGATATACACCTGGGGCTTTGATAGATTTTTATGTTGGCCTGCTGAGTTTTAGTACTGTAGTTTTATTTTTAAAAAGCACAAGGACAAATAACTTTCATTCCTTTTCTGGGGGAGAGGGGAAATCTCCAATTCCATTCCTTCTGGGGGCAATAGAATTTTTCTTGGCAAGAGAAGTGGGTTTGCTATTATTTCCTTGGCCTGACCCTGCTTAGCTTCAGTTTCCACTGCTGGTTGCCTGTAAGAGAGACTGACCTTTCTGAACTTGTGCTGGCACTGATGTCCAAAGCAGAGAAAAACCATGTTTTGATTCTGTTGTCTTTTCAGATTTTTTCACTGCCTACCCAAAGGAGAGAAATGGCCAGAGTGACTTTCTGTGGATACTGCCTGCCTGAAGGAGGAGGACAGGCTATTGTGATGTGATGGAAAGTCTAATGATGAAAAGGATGATGAAAAGACTAGCCATTGTGAGCTCATAGTGACTCACAGGAGTAAAAATCCTAATCCAGGGATATGCAACTTTTCCCTACTTAATGACTATATTGATCTTTGAATGGTGGACTCAACTTGACTATGTAAAGGGATTAAGAATGATCCATACTACTGCTGAAGTGGAAAATGTATGCAAACTAGAGAACCAGTTTAGTGTAGTGGTTAAAGCCCCAAGCTGAAAATGAGGAGATTGTGAGTTCTAATCCCAGTTTAGGCATGAAAGTCAACTGGGTGACTTTGGGCTAGTCACTCTCTCTCTCAGTCCAACCCACCTCACAGGGCTGTTGTTGTGGGGAAAATAGGAAGAAGTATTATGTATGTCCGCTGTCTTGAGTTACTTATAAAGTAATAAAGGCAGGAAAAAAAATCTAATAAATAAGAACCTATAGGTTGCCAGTCCTAGAGTCTGTCAAGGTCCTTTCTGCTTAATACTCTCAATATGAAATTGCACACTAGTTTCACTTGTATAGACCATCTGCATCTACGATCAGTCAACAGACTAATCTATGATTTAGACCCACATCTCTCCCACAAACAGCCATCTAATTACAGCATAGTGGGGAAGCTGACATTATTAGTTGTAAGCCAGCACAGCATTATAATACCATATCAATATTAACTAATGTGCCTGTTAAAACAAGATCCTTAGAGGAATGTATCTTGAAAATTGGAATGGGCATAGAAAGTTCTTCATGCAATAAGTGTAACACATAAAAGGCTGCTGTTTGTGGAATTTTTGAATATTGATACTTATGGAAAACCCCACTGTATTGTTCCAAACATGCAGCTGTATATAGAGAGAGGATTAAGGAATGAGGGGTCCTTGGTGCTCTCTGAGCTTGGTTGTTTTCTTGCAGATATTTCATTACCCAAAATCAAAGCATTGAGCTGCTACCTAGCTGGGTAATAAAATGTCAGCAAGAAAACAACCAAGCTCAGAGAGCACCAAGGAGCCCTCATTTCAACCCTGAGCAGTATGTAATTCTAAGCTTACAGCATGTGAGCATGTAGGCTTGGAAGATAAGTAATAGCAACAGTAATGTAGCATTTTATTGTATAGTTTATTTTGATTGCGGTGAACCATATACATAATGTAATATTTGAATAAAAGAAAATGATAGTTGATTTAACATACTGATTGGAAAGCAGCTGAATTTCAAAAGTTGTAACCAAGCGTTCTAAAGCCTATTTGACTACTCATCTCTCTCATTTGCTACAAACAAGCCACATTTAGGCTTTTATTTTTTAAAATAATGGAACAGCATAGTGTGCTTTTATTTTTTAAAGCAGTGGAACAGCATTGTGTACCGTTTGAAAAATCTAACAGGGCTTATAAGAGTGACAGAGCCATGCGAGATGGGGCTTTTATATACCCTCTACCGACAAAGCAGTAAAAGGGCAAACTTTGGGGTGCTTATTCAGAAATATTTCACTGCGTCCAATCGGCTAAACTCGCCAGGAGGATTGAAGATGGCAAACCAAATCCAATGTTGACGCTCAAGCGGATTTATTTCTCATTAGGGGCATGGCGGAGGCGGTGTTCTGCGCTCCATTTCCTCCGCCTAGCCTAGGAAGGATCAACACCTGTTCCTCCTCCCGCAGCAGGATGCGCGCTGCCTCGGGAGGAAGCCCAGGGCGCTGGAGCGGAGCCTCTTCCTTGGGACTGAGGGCCCTGCAGCTGCAGCTAGTGACGAGGAGCCGATGGGGCCACGGAGCGTCGCTCTGAGGCAGCCTCACTCGGCCCAATCCCCGCCGCTACATCCCTTCCTCCGCACGCGAGGTGGCGCCCCGAGGCGCTGCCTAGCGGCTCCGAGATAGGACGGCGAAGGCGGAAAGGCGTCGCGCTTGCGCTCAGGCGGGGCGGCAAGGCGGCTTCGGAGGCTAAAGGTCCTTCGCGCGGATCGCGGCAGCAGTCTCGGCGGTGGGAGTCTCTGTTTCGGCGTAAAGATGCCGGCCGTGTCGAAGGGGGATGGGATGCGGGGCCTTGCCGTCTTCATCTCGGACATCAGGAACTGTAAGCGTGGCAGGGGCGGCGAGGAAAACTTGCCTCCGGCCAGGAGGGCTCGGCGGGGCTCGCGGTTTTTTGTTTTGTTTTTTTCGGGTGGGGTTCCTTTCCTTCCCGGGAGAAATCGCTCGTTTCCTTGTTTCTGCTCCGTGGCGGGTTCAGCGTTGCCCGTTCCTTTCCCACGGAGGCGGCTCCGGGTTGTCTTGGGAAAGAGACCCTCCGCGGGGAACGTCGGGCTGGGTTGGCTTCGAGCGTAATGAGAAGGCGGCTGTCCTGGGAAGGGCTCCGCTCCGCTCTCGCCACCGACGGCGTTTTGGGCTGGCGATGAGCCCACCTTCTGCTGCCGGGTGTCTCTTTCGCGTTGGCCCAGGGAAGGGGGGTGGGTGGTGGTGTCTCTGCGAAAGCTGATTGTAGCGATGCGAAGCCCCGCGGGATACGCTGTAGATGGGGCCGGAGAAGTCCTGATTAGCCTGCGCCAAGGCAGCCTCTTCTTGCCTGGGTGGCTTTAAAGATAGGGAATGTACTTCGATGGCGGTCCCACCAACCCAGAAAATGGGCCTCAAATGAAAGGAAGGTTAGCTCTGTCTTAGGATGCGGGGGGAAACGGAAGCTTGGCAAGTACTGGTATATCGACAAAGATTGCCATATGTGTAGCCTCAGGAAAGAAAATAAGGAGAGGGTCTATGCTGGGAAGCTGACGGCCCAGTCTCAAAACTCTTCACTGCCCGAGGCAAGGGGGCAAATGAGGCCCCCTCTCAAATCAAGGTTTGTTGGTTAGCCCCCAGACAGAAAATTCCATAAATTCCTCTTCCCTGGCTGTAGAAATGCAGCGAAATAAAAACATCCAAGCATTTTACTCCACTGTTTGAGGAGGAGGAGGACTGTAAGGGAGGCAAACTGCAGCAAAAAATAAGTAGGACAAGACCGTTCTGGCTTCCTTAGTCTAATTTCTCATCCTTTTTGGGGAAAAAAAAATATATGTAACTGCATCAGCATGAATTATTCTTGACAAAAAAAATATGTTGAAAATCTTCTCCTACGTTGCCTACTAAAATTGAATCCGGTTTAGAAGAATGGGCTAGCTGTTTGTGTCCCCACAGCAGACAAAAGTAGCTGTTTTCGTCCATTTCCCAGGACACTTGTTTTCTAAACAACAAAGTCATTCAAGAGCAACAATAATAGGAACTGCACCTGTGTAATTGTATATATTTAGATGTATGCTAGTATGGCTTCTGTAGCTAAATCAGCCCACAGTCTGAGGTTTAAGGAATTCTGTGCCGAGTAGCTGAAAGAATATTCCTAATCTTCTTTTAGCAGCAGGACTATCCTTCAGGAGACCTTTGAAAATCAAAACTGAAAAGTCGGCCAAAAAGACCTCAGTGAACCAGCCAATATTCATTTTAAGAATTGTTTAAAGAATACTAATGGCTGTATTTATAGTTGTGCCAGAACACAGGCTCTTTGGTACTTCTAATAATGAATAAATTGAGAATGTCTAGCTTTAGATGCCTTGAAAAAGGCCTCTCTGATTTGGTACTTTCCAATGTGCAATTTTGAGACAATGTATGCAAAAATATATTTTCATGTATTTGGAGGGTCCTAAGTGAAGGGAAGACTGTCCTAGAACTAATTTTTAGTAAAACGATCGAGTAATCATTTGTTTGATATGTTTCCAAGAGCAGAAGCTTCTCCTTTAACATATGCCCCTGTTCTGCAAGAAAAATAGGAAGTACCTTTGAAATGGACTCTTTTTATTGTAGAAGCCTGACTGGTTAAATGCTATCATAAATATATCATTCTGTTGACCCTTAAATTACAATTAGTTGGCTGCCTTTGAATGAAGATTGGCCTAGTCGTTAATTTGGCCTGTGGTTATGTGATATACTGAAATCTCTCTCTCTCTCTCTCCCTCCCTCCCTCCCTCCCTCCCTCTCTTCCCCCCCTCTCCTATTGAGAACTAACTTCACTGTTATTAAGCATCATGGTTATACTTTCAATATATAGAAATATCAGATAACTATAACTATTACAACAAAATTTAAAACATTTTTCAGTCAGTTAAAATCTTTTTAAACTGCTTTGCCCATCTTGTTATATAGTGATAGTGAGTTGTATCTCGTTTACAATTGAATTTGGGAAGTAGTGTTTACTTTAAATGAATAATTGTTTGGGGATGCATCTTAGATTTTTATTAAGAGGAAGATGCTTGGACCTGTGTAATTTTTTTTAAAAATGCAGTGCATAATCTATGCTATTTAGTAAGAATATAGTACACTACTACTATTGCCTGGAGAGCAACAACAAATAGTAATTTACCCACAGTTGAAGTCCAAAGGTAAACCATTTCAGAAACCCCCAAAACTCCAAAAATCGTTTGCTTCCGTGCCTTTCTGGTAAATACATCTATGTTTAAACTAATTAGTTTCAAAGAATGCTTGTTTGTGTTCTGGGAAGGCTTCCTGTGTAGGGAATGAACTTTGGAATCTTGTTCTAAACATAGGAGAATCACTGTGACAATTGTCAGAAAGGTTAGATCCATGGCCAAGACAATTACAGCAACCTTCCTCCCCACACTTGTTGTGTTCCTGATGTATTGAGGTTGCAGGATTGCATGGACAATGTTGTCTGGGGCTTCTTGTTTACAGCCACAGTGGAAAGTTACATTATGGGCATTATATATTATATGGGCATTATATTCCTCAAGGCCATACTGTGTTCACCCCAAAACAAATAAGGTTGTGTATTAGTTTAGGCCAGTTGGTATAGTGGGTAAAGCAACAGACTAGAAACCAGGAGACCATGAGTTCTAACCCCACCTTAGGCATAAAGCCAGCTTTGGTCAGTCACTCTCGGCCCTAGGAAGCAGGCAGTGGACATGAAAACCTCAGGGACTAAATAGTCCATGTAGTCTCCAAGAATCAAAATGACTCAAAAGCACAATATAATACAGTAATGATAACCAAAATATCTGGGACAGAACTTGGAAAATTTGCACATTGACAGAATTTCCATCTGTAGATTACAAAAGGCCACACTACTTGGATCCTCACGTAGATTAGAATACGAATCAGTTGCCAAGCGCCTGAATTTTGATCTTGTGACCATGGAGATGCTGCAACAGTCGTAGGTATGAAAAATGGTTATTATATCATCTTTTCAATGCCGGTGTAAGTTTGAACAGTCACTAAATGAACTGTTTTAGAATAGAATAGAGCTGGAAGGGACCTTGGAGGTCTTCTAATCCAGCCCCCTGCTCAGGCAGGAGAAACTATACCATTTCAGGCAAGTGACTGTCTAGCCTCTTGTTAAAAACCTCCAGTGATGGGGCACCCACGATTTCTGAAGGCAAGCTGTTCCACTGGTTAATTGTCCTCACTGTTAGGAAGTTTCTCCTTAATTCCAGGTTGCTTTGGTCAGTTTCCAACCATTGTTTCTTGTCCTGCCCTCTGGTGCTTTGGAGAATAATTTGACTCCCTTTTCTTTGTGGCAGCCCCTCAAATACTGGAATACTGCTATCATGTCACCCCTGTGTCTTCTTTTCTTTAGACTAGCCAAACCCAATCCCTGCAGCTGTTCTTCAAATGTTTTAGTCTCCAGGCCTTTGATCATCTTAGTTGCTCTTCTCTGAACTTTTTCCAAAGTCTCAATATCTTTTTTGTAGTATGGTGACCAAAATTGGTTGCAATATTCCAGGTGTGGTCTTACTAGGATTTTATAAAGCAGTACTAATACTTCGCGTGATCTTGATTCTATGCCTCTGTTTATACAACCCAGAATTGTATTAGATTTTTTAGCTGCTGGCTCATATTCAAATGGTCATCCACTAGGACTCCAAGGTCCCTCTCACAGTTACTGTTTTTGAGCCAGGTCTCGCCTAATCTGTACTTGTACATTTGATTTTTTCTGCTTAAATGTAAAACTTTGCTTTTCTCCACATTAAAATTCATTTTGTTGGATAGGGCCCATTGTTCAAGTTTGTCAAGATCTTTTTGGATCCTGAGCTTGTCCTCTGGGATGTTGGCTATTTCTGCCAGTTATTGTCATCTGCAAATTTGATGAGTTCCTCTCTATTCGTTCATCTACGTTATTTATGAAGATATTGAAGAGTACTGGGCCTAAGACAGAGCCTTGTCATACCCCGGCAGGATGTCGATGGCGCAATCAGTTGGACAGTGAGGAGGTAATACATCGCTCTCCTGCGGGGGTGGGGTTGATTAGCGGGTGTGTATATAGAGCGCTGGGAGGCAGTTGCTGCCAGCACTGACTTTGATAGCAGACCATCGTTAGAACTGCATTGATGGCTCCGTGTCTTCTTGCCAGGGGTGTGGTGATGTTTACTTCTCTCCATGTGGATGTAGTACCACTGAGGACTGCTCATTGAGCACAGTTTGTCAGCTAGTTACAAATCCATCTGGTGGTGATGTTGTGTATCCCACCTTTTTCTAGCTTACTAAGCAGCAGGTTGTGATCTACTTTGTCAAATGCCTCATTGAAATCTAAGTATACTATGCCCCCAGCATTGCACTGCTACATGACGACATCCTAGGTTCTTCGGAAGAACTTGATGCATATGAAGGCCAACACCAGCTAAAAAACTGGTAGCTGTGATTTTACTTTTTTATCTCTAATAATAGTTCTACTTTTGTTGAACGTCTGCATAAATGGTTAGTTAATTAAACTTGACTTTTCATTTTCCCAAGCTGACAAAGAAATTTATACCATTAGATTATATGGAGATAATGCAGTCTTTCTATTCAGCTTCCCCACAAGTCTGAGAAGAATCATAGGAGTCCAACAGAGAGGATCGATCATTCTTTCTTTCTTTCTTTCTTTCTTTCTTTCTTTCTTTCTTTCTTTCTTTCTTTCTTTCTTTCTTTCTTTCTTTCTTTCTTTCTTTCTTTCTTTCTTTCTTTCTTTCTTTCACTCCTGGCACAAAAACTAGCTTCCAATTCGTTTCCTTCATTTGTTTGGAAATGATTTCCCACAGCTTTAGATGTAGGAAAGCACAT